CCTATTGTTGTCTTCTAGAATGTAAATATTTTCTTTCAATGAAAGTTACACTTGTCTTAGTAAGACTACACATAAAGCTGATAACAACAAAATATATCGGTAGAGATGAATAAAGTATGACTGACTGAGTTACAACAGAAATGCACGAGTTCAAGTTGCTACATGCTATATAGCACACAAAGGTTGAGAAAACAAAATTCGAAAAAGAAAAACTATGATAAGCAGAAATCTCATCAAAGATGTATTGATGGGAGTGACAACTTGTTACCACGGTGTCTTGTTGACTTAAAATATGCGGATGATATAATCCTTCTAGGTGGAGATGCTGATAAAACACAGAGTCCTCCAAACACCTTTAGGAGAAACCTTTGAATGTTTCCTACGCGATTTGCTCCTGTCAGGTGTAAGATGATACTACGGGACTGGAATACACCGTGGCATAGCTTAAACATAGGGGGAATAGAGTGGTATAGCGTGTTGACCACTTAACTTATTTTAGCAGTTCAATCAGCCACAACGGACTTATCGCTGAGGAAATCTCAAAACGGGTAGGAAAAGGATTGTGCGGTATTTGCCAATATAAGACACCTTTGTTGCAGATGTGATATCCGGCTATCTATCTAAGGACGTGTGTACTGCACAGAAGTCCGTTCTGTCCTCATTTATGACTGTGAGACATGGTCATTAAAAAGTGGAAGATATGAAAAGGCTGGCTAACAGCCTTTCATCATAGGTGTCTGCGTTTTCTCTCCCATGTTAGGCGGTATAATAGGATGAGTAAGATTAAAGTTGGAGGTAAAGTGTTAGATAAGAAGGGTGGGTTAGTCGATAAGGTTGTGAAGCTGCATCGATTATAATCGTCAGAACACGTGTTGCACATTCAGAGCCATTGCCTTCCATAAAGGGGGATGTTAGCTGACATAAGATCAGGCTGGAAAAGATCTACTGGTCAAACCATCAGTCCATGAAAGCTTTGACAGTTAGTTTCAGTTAGTCACGTAGTTAGATGTAGACCTTCTGGTTGGGGTTTTCGAGATTCTAACGACAATTGGTGACATGTCTCAAGGTCACTGTCAATGGTGCAGGTGCATTATGTTTATATGACGCAGTGAACCATTCTATTTGAGAATAAGAAAGCCATCAGCTCCACTTCCACAAAATAATGCTACCCTATGCAACTATTATTTGGTTTTTACAAATTGATCACGGATTGATATCAGTTAGAGAACCATTGAAAACCAAGGAGTACTGGACAGCTGCTGTTTCATCCTAGTTTGGAACTCATCGGTAGTCCACACTCACCAACGGGGTTCGAACCATTCAGCCACTGGGACCCAATTCAATGGCCAGCCCATGAATTCTAACTTCTACCAATTCGTGATTCAGCGCGAGCACCAACCAATCAATCCGTGATCAACTCGTAGAAAAAACTGATCCTTACAAACCAACTAGAAAGAATATTATTTGGTTGCAATTTTTTAGACTGCTTATTTCCAACAGTTTTTCAATTCCTTGGTGTTCCCAAGTTGAATATATAAGGCTCCAAGCTTTGAGCTGTGAAGTTTCAGTAGCAGCGATGTTTGTTTACGAAATGTAGGATTGCTAGCAGTACGCTCAACACCTTCCTTCCCTCTTTATCGAACTTATTACTGGCTAGGCGAGGCAGGTTTAAGCACTCATCAGCTAGGAATCGAACCTTGAACCAGAGATGACGCGTGGTCGGCGAGCCTTCTACCGTACCGTACTGAACCACCACCAATCCATTTTATACAGATAAGACTTATACTTCATATGCACATGTCTCAATTGTGTTTTGTAACACACAACTAACTCGATTAGCTAGCAAAGCATCAATCTGTTTGACATCAATCAACCTATCTGAAGAAGAAGAAGAAGAGAAAAACAACGGTGAACAATTCTTCTTTATTATTTAGGTTTTTTATATTGTTATGTTTTCTCAAGGTAGAATCGACAGTCAGTCCTGTAGGCTATAGAACAACAACAACAACAATACCGAAAGATCACTACTCAACTTCTTTTTTCACACATACAATAATACACATCACATGTTTTGGCTTAATGCCATGATTTAAAATAGACAGACAAATGAAGTGAGAGAGATAATAAAACGTTTTATTTAAAAAAAAACTTGGAAAGAATATGATTGGTCGATTAAGGTGAACAGATTTCCGTCGCATATTTAGTACAATAAATAATTATATATTGTATATATACGTTTACTTCCCTTATGATGATGATTCCAGGGTAGGTACAAAAGTATAATAAATTAGTAAGTATCGGTTGAATAAAATAAAATACACAGAGTGTATTAAATACTGCTAATTTTCCTAATTTTCGTACTATACCATACACAACACGACTACTACATGATTGGCATATTCAGATAGTAAATTTCTATTGAACAGTTGAAACCAAGTAAGTAGAGTGATAGGCATGATGAAATTTGGCGCTGCATACAAATGGCATAAAGATAATCTATCTATAGTACCATTTATTATCACTACTAGTATTACTTATTTCAGTTGCAAAACCTGATATACATATATATATATATATATATATATATATATATATATATATAATGCATTGAACCACTTTCCTGGAACTAGTTTCCGCCATTAATAGTAAATTAAATGGTATCACCATTCGAGTGAGAAATGGTTCGAATAAATTTTAATTCTTAGTTTTATGTGAGAAGATATGTACATATATTCTTCTAGTTGACAAAAACAATATTCGATGCATATTCCTTTCGCCTCTTAATATTAACACTACTTACACCAAGCCAAGCTGTTTATGACAAAATTAAAAGGAATCCTCCATTGAAAGAATGTAATGAGTGAGCTCTCGTTTTACTGTGGATGCCTGAATGATACTTTTACCTTGTATAAGAATAAAATCAATACCGAGGTCCTTCCGAAAACGTTAAATACACGTACGAAACAGAAAAAAGCCAATACATTATCATTTCTTGATGTTCTGTTAACAAGAAAGGCAAGATGGGAGTATTAAGTAGGGGGTATTTTCCGGAAAAAATAATGGGTTGACCAACACACACCCATTTCGGATTGTTTGTTTTACTTGCGTACAAACAAAGTCTCATCAGTACCCTGGTGTTTCGTGCTAGAAAAATCTGCACAACCGACAATCTTGACAATGAAATAAAGAAAAGGAGAACGGATATCCATGTTAAAGTCTCCATGATGAGAAAAGATAGAGGGAAATGCCTCCAAACGGTGCAAAATAAGCGTGTATATATACATGACTTTACCTTTTAAAAGACACAAACCACTGAATTACTGACATCGAAACTCAGAAAAATAATAGCTTAAACATTTTTGCTGCAACACAATGTTTAAAATTCACCACTCGTCGTATAAATCCAATGCAACTGAAGGATAAGCTATTGAGTCTGGCTACCTCAATGTGTGCACTCACTTATAAACTTAACTATTCTTGTGGGGACGGTTACATAGGCAGAACAACTCGGAAGGCCCATTGTCGCCTTATTGAGCGCTGTCTAACACGGTTAGATAAATGAGTAGTAAAAATCAATCAGGAGTCAATTTTATACAAGGTATCATGTCAATTCCCTTGGTTTGGTACACCTCCGATCACTAAGCATAGAATTGAGGCAGTTTCCATAAAACGCTTTCAGCCAATCTTCGTGTTTAGATAGAATTTGTTCAGTCCCTCTCCACCCCCATGGCCTTCAATCTCGACTTCGAATAGTTTTCCCGATGGAACCGTATAACTAAATATTATTTTTATTTGCACTGCTAACTTCATTAGCAATATCATACTGTGCTATAGTTGCATATTTTAATCTTGGTTTTCCAATTTATTACTATTATTATTCTGCTTAAATCCTTCTTGATCATATTTAATTCTATTGATTCACACTGTTTCAAATGTAAAGCCTAATAAGAATTTACCGAAAATACATATTTCCTTTCTTAAATGGTGTTCTATAATCTCAAAGTGTGTCATTTCCTGATCAGCATTGAGAGAGCGTACTTTTGTGTTAAATACTTATGAACAAGTGAATTTTAACCCTGCATATCTACTTGTAACCAAACATGAAAACGAAAAACGACAAGTGAAGTCAGCAATCTATATAGTAGCAGTAGTACTATGGTTTTCAGAATCAGCCCAACGCTTCCTTAACAATTACGCTGGGCTAAATATGCATATACTTACAAAACAGTTCTAATTTGCAAGTATTAGTTTGTAAGGATTCGATTTGTTTGGTTTGATCACGGATTGATATGAGTTAGCGGATCATTGGAAACCAGGTAGTATTGTATAGCTGTTCCGTCCTAGTTTAAGACTCTCCGGTAGGACGTACCCATGAATCCACCAGGTATCGAATCCAGGACCCTGACGATACAAGGCGGGCTCATCGACTATTCAGCCACTGAAACGGAATCCAATCGGCCATGAATTCTAACTCCTGCGGATTTGTGATTTTTAACGCCACAATCAGCCGACGTCATCGGAGAGTATTTGTCTTCACACCCTACATGGTCGACGCTAATGACTACGATTTCTCACTCACGGTGGAGATATAAATAGCGAATTGATAGAAGTCCACTGGATTCCACCCCAATGACTGAATAGTCAATAAGTTCACTTCGTATCCTGTGAAGGTCCTGGGTACTTCTGAAGAGTTGGAATCTAGGGCGGAACAGATGCCCAGCACTCCCTGATTTTTAATGATTCTCTCTAACTTGAGGTATGGATTTCCTGTGGATAAACAGCTAATCAAGCTGGTCATATCCATTCAGTGTTCATAACATTTGTATTTGTCTAACACAGTCTGTAGATCGATCTAAGCACAGTTTTTAATTCCAGTTGACAAGACAAACATCCTGTGCAGGGGGTTAGGTACAGTTATCTAAATTTGTAATCATAAATATGTTAAAATAAGCTAGATGGACTGCATAATTCAGCATTAAAAAAGCACACTGACAACTGACCTTAATTTCACCTGTTGACTTATCAAATGCTACATGCAGATTATGCGTAACTTCAGTTGGACCGGATATTTGTGGTTCAGTCTTTTCTGATCGGCCAAATTTTGGAAAACGGAACATTTTTACTACAATAGAATGGGGAAAAAAAAGAAAACAAATAATGATAATGTATGATGTTCTTGGATGAATCATATTAATTCAAAACGGAATTGTCATTAACTCGTCTAAGGAACAATTAGGAGTGAAGAAAAACATCAACATAGGCATGTAGAGAGACAGTACATTTCGAGGCCCCTGTTTGGGTTGGACTGTAAATAAACTTCAAGATATTTGACAAACATATCTGTCTCGCATTTATGTAAAGATAAAGTATTGTTGTTATTAGATGGTTGGAGGCAGTCGGCAGAAAGCCTGACACTCAGATTTCGTGTTACCTGACACTCATCAGAAAGCCGTGTCTGAAATCTTGGAAGAACTTGTATCCCGTGCCACCCATTGCTGTAATCAGACATTGCCTGTGAGCTAATCGAACTGGAAGTTGACCTCCTGAAGAACTGTGTTGAATACTTTTGATTGGACACTAACTAGTGTCATGCCTCTAGTCCTAGTCCTTGGTGTTTGTGTAGACTGAATTCTACCAATCCAGTTCACAATGTGGCCACCATGCTACGTCACTTGCTGTCACTGTGCACTCGTCAGCACTTACCTCCAACCATCTGGTAACAGCTCACAATTCTGAGTGCACCATGATGTAGAGCCACGTAGCATAGTGGCCGCATTACAAGGTCGACTGATAGAACTCAGTCTACACCAAACAAAGGACTAAACGCATGACGCTAGCTAGCGTCCAATCAAAGATAAAGTATACTAGAAACAAAATAATAGATCAGTTGATTTCGAAAACTTGCTATCTAAATTCCTAAGGTTAACTGACTGACTCGTAGTGAATAGTATTCGAATTACAGTGAAGAAAGTCAACTCAATATGAATATCGATAGAATTAACTTTTCTTTGAAATGTATCACGTCTGCAACAGAGATGTTTTTTTTTCTATTCCTTTACGTTCCCAGTGGAACATAGGGCTACAAGCTAGAGCTTTGAGGTTTCGGTAGCAGTAGTGTTTATTTTTACGGGATGGGGTTGCTAGCCTCATGTCCAACCTTCCCTCTTTATTACTGGCTTAGCGATGTCAAGGAGTGCATCGGCCGGGGATCGAACCTTGGACCACATGCGTGATCGGTGAGCATTTTGCCGGTGCCACCGATGCACCCAGAGATGTTGGCAAATGCCATACGTGTCTTTTGTACCCAAAAAATTGAAGGTTATTTTGATGAAGGTTTTCCCATTTATTTGTAAAATACCATTCCTACACTCAGTGTTGACTAATAGATAGAAGGTATTCCTCCTTTTCAAGGCAGCGTCTTATAAAGGCCTAGTTAAATCTTAAGTGTATAACACTAGTTTACTTTATGAAACAGAATGATAATGATGGAACAAATTTGCTTTTTTGAGATTTGTGTTATAATCTCTGAGAGCCGCAGCTTCCAGTATTTTCCGAAAATTACTCTTAATTGTTTTAAACGAGTCATTTTTTCTCTTCAGATTTAACGTGCATATCACATGAGTGAACACATCAATAGTTTCAGGGTCATTTATTATTATTATTATTAGCTTAATCATTTGCGTTCAAAGTGGAACATAGTGTGACGTGTGCGCTACTGATAAGATTTATCAGTAGTATATCAAGAGACGTTCATTGGTAGAAAAGCATCAAATATAGCAGGGAGATAGATTTCATGTCAGAGAAAGCAAATGATACAGCTTTGAGAAGATACATGGGATACGTGAAAGGAACACACACACAAAAAAACACAATATGAAGGCTAGAAGTAGCAAGCACAACACAGAAGATCTGTTCAAATGGTGATTTGAGGATAAGGTGTACATAATTTTGCTATACAGCGATGCCAAACTTCAAATAAATATTACCTTACCAAGTTTCTCGTCTTCTACCGTTACAATAAAACTTCAAACTTCAGTTTTGAAGTTTCAGTAGGATCAGTGTTTTTTCTACCAGGTAAGGTTGCTAGCCTCACGCCCTTCAACACCTTACCGCTTTGTCGGGCTTACAACCAGCTATGGGGTAGGAGGGTATTAAGGTCAAGTAACCTAAAAATGTACACATACATAGCTATAAGACATTAGCGTGGTACCCGTTTACATCCAAGTGTGAATGAAAATCAGATTCCTTTCTACCATGTAAGTTAAGCATAATTACAAAATAATAACTATCCTCTTTTTTTTAAATGTCGTTAAGTACAAAATGAAAATGGCCTAGACAACTGTTGCGCTTAAATATACTATACACTTTACTTTCGTTACAGTATTGTATACATGACTCTACTAGCTATGGTAATAAGAGGCTATAGAGACAAAAAAGAGAGTAAAGGCATAAAAAGGATGAATCATCCTCACATAAATACACATACATATACACACGCACATAAACACAGCTCTCTTTCTCTAACATGAATGGACTGGTAATAAACTAAAACCAGAAAGGGTAGAAAAGTAATAACATGTGATGTGATAGTTATTTCTACGGCGGGTGAAAACAATGTGTACATATATATGTGTATGTGTTCATGCATATACACACACACACAGACAAAGACTAGAATATGTATACGATATAATGATGATTAGAAGTGGACAAAAATTATTAACGCACTAAAGTGTCTTCTGCCACCATTACTACTGAACACTAACTAGTAGAGTGTGGCACAGTAGAGAAAAGAAAAATGCAGCTCTCTCCCTCCTCCGTATTTAAAGCCTATTGCTCTAGAAACTGACATACTTTATATCACAACAAAGTATTCATTTTTCTTGTTGTTGACTATCATCAATAAAATGATCGATGAAATTGTTACTATCGCAGAAAATAATGATGATAATATCTAAGATTAGTTGCAGGGAGATAGTTAGTTCAATTACTTAAGCACTGATGGATTAATTTTCTACAATGATATGAGGGACATTAATATTACACGGCGTGTACATCCCACTATCCTATAAACTGACTGGTTTCATCAGCATAGAACTTTGCTGCACAGAATTGTACCAGGTCATGTTGCTACACTCCATGTAGCACACACACACACACACACAGGGAGACATAAGACGGAAAAACGAGATTCAAAAGAATAGTAATACGCAGAAATGTTAGGGAGAAAGAAAAGCAAAGTAACATGCCAAATCATGAGAGTTTTAATGGATATGGGAGAATAGAACAAAGAATGATTGCATTTACGCCACTGAGAATGATTTTGAACCATATCATCACTAATTATCTCCAACAATTGGTTCTTAGAATCTCGAGAACTCCAACCTGTCACTTAATGGTAGTGTCTTTCATTGCCATGAGAACATAAACTTACTGTTAGTGTCAGTGACCATCTCAGCATTCACTGACAGATTATAATCCATGAAGAAGTAGAAGAGGAATATAAAATTTGTTTTTTGTCAACAACTTTATTTAGTCGATGTACGACAGAACCACTTCATCAGATAGATGTATACACAATGCTGTGATAGTGCACTTATGCATACCTGAGCTTGACAGTCCACAACAAAACGAATTCTACGTAATAAATCTGAATTGAAACAGCCTTTGATTTCATGAGAAATAGCTAATGGAAACATTAAATCAATAAATGACTTTTCTGTTGATTTATGGAAATCATAGTGAATTTGTGTAAATAGTTTCAAAAATTGGACCCATAATGAAATCATAAGATTAGAATGAATCCCAATACACAGCTTTGTCCCTTCCTATCCAGTAAAAAGGAATACCGTAGAAACCCTCAGCTACATTTTTTTTTATTCCTTCACGTTCCCAGTGGAACATAGGGCTTCAAGCTAGAGGCTTGAAGTTTCCGTAGCATATCGTATTTTTACAGGATGGGGTTGCTAGCCTCATGCCCAACTTTTCCTCTTCATCAGCATTATTTCTGGCTTAGTGAGGTAAAGGAGTGCGTCGGCCGGGGATCGAACCCGGGACCATGTGCATGGTCGGCGAGCGTCCTGACCGCTATGCCACCGACGCGTTTTAATATATATATATATATATACATGGTTACCCTGGCCTATTGTGGAACCTGTAAGTTCATAAATTCTGCGTGCGACTTTCCTTAATTTATCGGATATTCAGTTTAGTGTTATAATGATGCATATTATCACCTACAGATGTTTTTGAACTGTAATCCACTCAATCTTATTGATTCAATGTTATTTAAAACATTAAAGTTGTTAGTAACAATAATTCTTTAATTATTATGGACATATAACTGTAGAGCCCAGTGAAAAAGTTACCCAAAAGAACTATCCTTTGTTCACTAATCCGTCTTGTATACTGGATAAAACTTACAATATATTTGGTAACTTGTAAAATTCGTATAAACAGAGAATCAATGAGGTAGTCTTCACTGAGTCGTATACAAGCGCAAATTGTCATGAAGTAATCATTTTAAAGAAAATCCTTATAATTATTCTCTTCACTCATTTGTGATCACGTCTAACTGGAAATCTCTCTCTTCAATAATCAGAGAAGATTCCAAATACATACAAACAACGCATTTAAAATAAAAGTTTGCTGATTGTGCACAGGCTAATATAGGCAGAAGATGTAATATGATACATGAGTATCCAATCTAAAAATTAGAAACAGAAATTGAGCTTATATGAATAGAGATTTTTTTATATTCAAAAACACTCATTACTTCTCTGAAGGCTATAATTTGTGTATTTAGATAATCAGTTAGAGAACTATTGAAAACCAGGGAGTACTGGACAGCTGCTGTTTCATCCTAGTTTGGGAATCATCGGCAGTACGCACCCACTGGGATTTGAACCCAGGACCTTCCGGTTCCAAGGCGAGCTAGGTCGTATACCATTCAGCCACTGGGACCCGATTCAATGGCTCATGAATTCTAACTTCTACCAAGTCGTGATTTAGCGCGACCCCAACCACTGTCGTTGGTGGAACATTCATCCACAATCGTAAAAACATAACTAACCCTTACAAACCAAACTATAGAAAATATTTAGATAATCGACTTTTAAATTAGTGATTCATCGATTCAAAGAGGTGTTTGAAACAACATGGAGTAACGAAGAGATCTTGAGTAGAATAAGATTGAAATTAACAAAAAGGATTCATAGAAGAAAGGAGAATAATTAAAGGAAGACTAACAAAAATGATGGTGAAAAATGAATCAACACACATACACACACACAAACACACGTACACACACATGCAACTATGCTCGATTTTGAGTCGTACCTACAATTTCTAACATAACTTAGACCAACATTTAAATACTTAGTAGAATGTGCATATCTTTTACGTTTGTAGGACCCATTTTTATGTTACAATCATTTAAAAAGTGGAGGTTGGCAATTAATTAAAGACAACATCATTTCAGGTATACTCTCTCCGGTTTTAGAATAAATTACTAGTGAATATTAAAATCTCTAGTGTTTTTACTGCTTAAAATGCATCACATGAAGATATGTACCACACAATTTTTTACAACCAACACCTTTTATCCAATAAAAGCCTACATCAACAACACTGTTATAGTATGATACACTTTTGACTATGATTTCAATGATTCAAATCAGCAGGTAGTTACATTAATAACTATAAGTTTGTCAGGATATATTTTATCTGTGCATGAAGAACTGATGTCTTATAAACAGTTATTTTCTGGGGAAGAAAATCAATATCATTCCAATTAAAAATAATACTAAATGCTTTAAACACAAAACCAAAAGATTTTGGAAAAGCAAAAAACCACTGAAATTGGATAGATTATTCCACAACAAAAAGTTAATAACTTGTGTTGAATCCCAACCAATAACCAGAGAGTCGTTGAATTCATTTAAAATCAATTCCATCAATGGTGTGCCTGAATTCATTCTGTTTGAATCGTTAGTCTGCTGAAATCTTCAGCATTTTGAGTACGGGCTTAAAAATTATGCAGTATGATGTGAGATTTCATAGTGGTTTTATACATATATTAACCTAAAATCAGTTAAGAAAAAACGTGGATTTGAACCGCTGCCAATAATTCTTGATTATATCACTTGAGGCATCCAACCATAGGTTTGGATTGTGACATGCACTCAACACGCCAACTTGTACTTCACTATGCCATTCAGATCAAAGGTCAACAACTTCATAGATGTCTGTTACATCTCCGTCTGGCAACTATTCGCTTACACTCAGATTAACCAATGTTTAGCTAGTAGCAACTTAAGGTTGACAATTAGTAGGCATTTGAAATAACTAGCAGTCAGATTGAAAGCTGCGCGATTGTACACATTCAAGCTAAAAAACTCTTCAAAACATATATACATATTTATTTATAAAGGCTTTATACACTCTACTCACCCTTCTTTTTCTTTTTCTTCTCTTCCTTTCCTGGTGGAGTCGGCAACGGCTTTGATGGGGGTAAAACGGTCTTATCCTTCTTTCGCCTAAAAAATAAAATTGAGGTAGCTGTTATCAGTGAAAACCCAAAAACAGGATAGTTACTCTACTTCAATGGTCCCTAAAGTGGTACTTTACAGTTCAAAATATTTGAAACTTAGCAGCTCCGTAGATCGAACCCTTTCCTCAGTATGTTGATCCTATCACGCTTGTATACTACAGTGGTCGTTTATAATATTAATAACAACAGTAAATTGAATGTCATACTTAACAAGAAAAAAGAGCAATACTCGTGGGATATTTAGGATAAAGTGAGACTGTGGACATGGATCGTCTAAAACATGGTAGTCTGCTGCACAGCACAGTAAGCAATTTTTCCTAGAATTTTCAATCTTAACTTATTTTCGATAGTTGGTGAGATATTCTGAATATTCTGCATGGATCTCTAATGGTATAAACGCGAAATCGTGTATCAGAAATAAGTAGGTACGCGATGTTGAAGCTACATGAAAAGAAAGCTGCATTCAATATCCTTAGGAAATTTCTTATAAGTGAGTATAGATACTATACACTTCATCATAGCATGTCTTAGAGAAGGTGGTGATAAGTGGTAACAGGGGATTTTGAAGTATGCGTAAAATTATGAAAACAGATAACATTTGAAGTCCCATAGTCCACCAAAAATGGAGATTTAACTCATTGGCTTAAACAGTCGGTGGGTCTTGCGTTCGAATCCCACTCTATCTACATTCCCTGGGTAACAAGTTGGTATCCTCAGCCCTAAGAAAATAAGTGTGGTCCATAGTCTAACGCGTGAAAAGTTTATTCTGGGTGTGTTTAAATTAACTAACCAAATCAATCGAAATCATACATTTTGGACACTCAAGTTCTGCATCAAAACTCGAATCAACTTACACCTATTTATTGACTTTCATCCAGGATTTTGAGGATTGCCACTATCTCCAAATTTCCTCTAGGAATGATGCCATAACGATTGGACATTTATAGATTGTGACGAAAAATATTCGCTCATCGTTGCGATTTGAAGTAAGTGTTGTCTCGTTTCGGCTTAACCCTCCGATTGTAGCTAGTGGTAAGTTTATGAAGTATAAATCCCGCCCCCCCCCCCACCCCATCTGAAGACACGCCGCATATGACCAGCTGAAAACAAACATTCCCTACCCTTTGTTGTCACGTAAAACCAAGACTCTCTCAAACACACATACTTCAAGTAGAAACCAACGTTCACAATGTGGGTAGCTGTGAAATGAGTGATTGGGAACTACAAACGTCCGTACACTTTCAACGCATGAAACATTTGTTTATCATATTCCCCCACTTTCATTTTTCCACAGCCTTTAATGTCCTCATGTTTATTTACTTTAAAGGACTTAAACCAATCAAAACAATAATTCTAGTCGTTTTAAACCAAGCTACCAACTTCCCAATGCAGATTCAAGCATCCAAACTATTCGCCAAATCAGACGACACATGTCAATATCCAAAAGTCTACCATCCCAAACTTTGGACGCGTGTCACATCTCCAAGGCATACGTCATTCTTTACGGCTGAAACGGACATTGTAAGTAGTAGACATAAAGAGGCCAGCTGTCTTTGATCATAAATGTTAGCACTCTATTTCCTGCATTAAGTAGCATAATATGCTGAGTAACATTGACGCCAGGTATACAGTGTTAGTTAAGGAGGGCAAGGTATGTGGACTGAGACGGTTACGACATATGTCACGGACACCAAGCCATCATCTTCCTCATAGAACAATCTTAGCCAAAACAGGATTTGGCTGGTTAGTTTAAGGCAATCACATAGGGAAGGGTGTAGGTTGGAGTGACGTCCACGAGACGCTAAGAATCAATGGCTGAATACTGTTGATGACATGATTCAAAATTATTCTCGACGGGGCAGGTGCATCAAGTTTGTGTGAACTTCCAGATCCACTAAATTCTTGTTTTCCACGTAATTATACTTCCTCCCGTACATTTAATTAGTTTGTTTCCTTGGATCTTTCGTTTCCTTACTTCTGGGTGCTTTGTGAAGTGTAGCAACTTGAACTGCTGCACCTTTGTGCACAGTTGTACTGTGACAATTTCGTTCAATTCACTTGATGCGCACAAGACTAGAGGGCTATTTATCAAACACCAGCGTGTCGAATACGGTGGATCTACAAATCCCAACCTCTATAGCTGATTTCCATAAAAGCTATCGTACAGAGTTTTGAAATCACTCCTGAACTGGATTCCAGTGAACAGTAGTGTGTTATCCGGAAGAGTCCATAAGAAAAAAGAAAGACTAATGCTTATTTATGTCGTCTGGTAGTCTCCGCTCATACGCATACCGATTTCAGTTAAGACCAAGTAAAGAAAAAATTTCCGCGAGAAGGATCTAACTTTATGCAAAGAGCAAAATTCTGAGAAACAGTTATAGGAGCAGGTGATTTCAATGAAGTGAAGAAGCCTAGTCAGTTAGGAAAGAATTCTGGAGGCACTTTGGTCAACGAACAAGCAATGATGACCATCTTATATTTCGTTCAAACATTGTAAACTAAGAAGCAATTATATCTGAAGACCAACAATATAACCCAATTATCCGGAAAACGTTTTTTCATGTGCTACGTTGAACCACACTTGTTTGAGTGAGATTTAATGATGCTACTTAGCTACTCAAGTTGAAGTAGATATAATGGATTCCAAACTCCGGACCAATTAGTTGAAAATTGAGTACCTCCCCATTATTCTCTAGTTAAAATTCGGTTGATATCAGTCTTGTGTTACCGTCTTACATTTGACAGGAGTGGAGTGTGTGCCAAACATGCACAGATGATTGCTCAGGGTCTTGGGAAAACTACATTCTGTCACCGTCCCTACCTAAGTGGATTAACTTTGCATACTCTAAGCCAGCACTTTGAATATAAAAGTCAGTCTGTCACATCTGTCAGTACATATACAATGAGACTAAATAAGAATGTTGCCACTGAAGACTAGACAGATATTACTCGTTGTCATCAACTGAGGTTACAACACTCCATAAGGTTCTAGACGACTGCTCGAGCTCAAGTAAAGTGCCTTGAATTACGTGAAATCCTTTTATGTTATTCCTTTTAACCTAATTTCTCGGACACCAGTATGTTCCTGTCCTAGAACCTGTAAGACAATGGCGATGCGATTAATAGATCCACATCATGACCTGAATCTAGTTTCCTTGAGATGCATCAGATTAACTGACTATTGACGTAGTCTCTGCGTGGGTACAAAGCGCCCATTAAGTATTGACTAAATTCAGTCGTATTTAGTAGTGATGTACAGCTACCCACTTAAGATTAGGTTTGCAATCCAGCAATCCTCCGTATCTTACTTCAGAGACGCGAGAGATGACTACAAGTTCTGGTCTCAGGCGCCTTTATACAATTGCTTACTTTCAAAGAGAGAACTTGGTGAGTAGTTATGATATTCAAAGTGACCTTAACTTAGGGCGTCTGAGACTTGTGCTTGCCTCAACGACCGTTATCAGCTAAATTCGGATTGAGGGGGAAATGTTCAGGGAGATTTAGACTTTTGCATCCCCAGCTTTATTTGTAAAAACTTAACGAGAGGAAAATAAGTACCAGGACATAACTGCATAACGCCATCTTTGAACAACTCCCTTGATCATAAACTGCTGGAATCTAGCATTTCGCTAACCCTAGTCCAACGTGTCATTAAGCCCACACGCTATGACTCACAGTACTCCTCTTCAACCATGGACCTAGTGTTCTTCCATGGTGAGGATGTGGATCCCATACAACATCTTCCTCCTTTGGGAAGAAGTGACCATGCTGTGCTCACTTTCAAGTTCAGAACAACGGCAGCAAGGGCCAAAACCCCAGCTTGACCAAACGTTTGAAAAGCTGATATAAATGCAATCGTCTTAGCAGCCAACTCAGTGAACTGGTACGTAAACCCAGAGTCCCAAATAGAAGCCGCATGGAACCAATTTAAACAACTTTACGCTCAATTAACTGAACCTTTCATCCCTTGGTCTGTTCCAAAAGGTCGGAAACATTGCCCCCCTTGGATAAACTGAGAGATTCGTAAGTTACTCAGACGTAAACACAAATGTTCGGACCTGTTTGCCACTCTTGAAACTCCTGAGACCAAGAAATTATATAGCACTGCTAGGAATAAAGCTATTGCAGAAATCCGCCAATCAAGGATTGCCGTTTCAAACCTGACTATTGACAAGGACACAATCGAAGATCAAGAAAAAGCAGAAGCAATGGCAGACTAATTCTCCCAAGTCTTTACACAGGGGTCGTCACTCCCGATAGGATCAGCTCTGGCTGCATCAGAGGAACACGGGATAGATTCCGTTGAGGTAGACCAAGACATCGTGCTCAACTGCCTAATAAAACTAGATGCAGGGGAATAAATGGGTCCTGATAATCTCCATCCAAGGCTTCTCAATGAGCTATCTGATCACATAGCCGGCCCTTTGACCACGATCTTCAAGCTCTCTCTTTCTCCTAAATGGAGTGTTACCGAGTGACTGGAAAGACGCCATAGTAACACCCATCCACAAAGGAGGATCAAGACAAAGTCCTTGAAATTACAGGTCTGAGTCTCACTAGCACTTTAATCAAGACACCAGAGAGAATCAAGAAAAGCATCATAGCATATCTGGAAAACAACAAAATGTTATCCAGAGCACAGCACGGCTACCGAAGAAACCTCACATGCCTTTCAAATCTTCTCAGTACAAGGGAAAGCTGGGTCAAATCAAGGGACAACAGAAGACCTGTTGACGTTGTCTTCATAGACTTCAGCAAAGCCTTTGATAAAGTACCCCACAAAAGACTACTCATGAAGTTGGAAAGTCTTGGTATCAAAGGCAGCTTACTAAACTGGCTCAGGGAATTCCTCATAGATAAGAGGCAGAGAGTTAGGATCAACTCGAAACTCTCCTCTTGGACAGCAGTACGCAGCGGAATGCCACAAGGCACGGTACGTGGACCTCTCCTATTTATTTTGTATGTCAATTAGTTATCTCTGCTCACCGATTCCCCTATGGTCATATACGCAGATGACTTAAAAATTCGGCGAGAAATGAAGGGCAACAGTGATACGCTCACGTTACAAGAGGACCTCAACAAATTGTCAGAGTGATCCAGAGAATGGATGTAGTGAAATGTGCAACCATGTGCATCGGACACGCAAGCATCAGCTACTACGAACTAAAGGGAATAATACCCATCAGTTTAGACTCATTTGGATTTAAGTGTCATATTAAGTCACGATTTAAAAACTACGGCACACTGTCGCATGGTGACTGTACGTAGTTTCAGATCCTTATGGACAATTCGCAGAGCCCTTACTAGAATCACCAGAGATATGTTTACCTCCTTATATACATCTCTGGTGAGTTCAAGACTGTAGCCAGTTCTTGTCTTAAAGGGGACTCATATATTCTAGAAAGGGTCCAAAGGAAGGCAACACGTATGAATCTCGTCATGACTAACTTATCATACGAGGAAAGACCAGACAGTTTAAATCTCTTCTCTGTCATACTGTTTAAAATTTTAAATAATGACTACGGACCTGAACTATTTTCTCTTTCTTTTCCCACCAGCTTGGAACACTTTAGAAGGCAGCAGAAGAGTTCAAATGCCAAGAAGAAATCATATTGTTGTTGAATACTGGTCCTCACACCGAGTTGTAAACTCTTGGAACAGACTCCCAGAAGTGGTGTCCGCAACCTCAACTTTTTCATTCAAAAAGGGTTTGGACAAGCACAGGAACTTACTAGAAAAGGATTAACGTAAGCTTCAAGACTTTTATCCTCAACCAATAAATCTAAATCTGAATAAATGTAACCAATACAGTGTCACTAAATGCATTAATTAGGAACATAGCCGAAAAAACAGATTTATCAGCATCAGAAAAGCCAAGACGAAAGGAAAGCCCTATTTCGGATCGCCGAAAAACAACTACAAGTCTTTCAACACTAACAGCCTCATTAAATTCAACCCAATTCAGACTTATAGATACCTGATACGGCCAGATACGTGTCAGAGTGAACACCAAGGATTCCTTAAAGGCTGTTATACAAAAACCTATGTTGAAGACTGACTAACAGGGAGAAGTATAAAATTTAACACAATAAAACCACGCACTGTTTTAAAAAGTTATTAATTTAAGGTGGAAAATCAGCTTTAAGTGAAACGCCGTCATACCAGCAGATACAAGATAAATAAACCGACTGACTTACAGTGTACTTGAAGATCGGACTGGAGGAGCAGGAGCATGATGAGGCATTTCTGATCCATGAATTAAAAAAGTAGCAGATGGTGGTGAAAGACGACTGAGACTGTTGTCAGCAGCACATACATGATCAGTGAGTTCACAGAAGCTGGTCGTATTTGAGATTACATGACTGTCATCAGAACTATTTGCCTGACTATAAGACCGGTCAGGCATCATGCCACGGTAAAGCAATAAGTGAAATTAAAATCCGGGAGTCATAACTTTTCTGAGCATAGTTCGCTTGAATAACTAGATCTTCTTGACAGAGAAAACTGGAAACATCAGCACAAGCTAATTAAATACATTCTAAATGTAACGGCGACTAAATAGTTATTGAGATAATAATCCGGAAATGTCGGGGGTAGGGTCCACATGAAACCTGAGATGAACAGGAGCGTATTCAAACGTGCCTCCACGGAACACAAAGCAATGTGACTAGACAAATGGCGCAGACAAACACGACAAAGTTACTAAATGCCCTGAACTTATCTAAAACGTTTGAACAACTTAAAATGTTGAATACTTTGATTTTTCATAAAAAATTGTGGGAACAATTCTATAAACAGGTTTTATAGATCCTGTTAGGCATCTGAGTATCTAGCTACTTAGATCGTGAGAAATTTGAAGTCCTAGAGTGATCCTCTAAGTTCATTTTAACTTTGCGTAAACACTAACTCGTGAAATGAAGCCGGTGAATTTCATTTGCAAGAAGATCAAAATGATCAACAGTTCTACTATTTTTGGTAGGAAAGCTAATATTAACCCTTTGAATAAGGTGTTTAGTTTCACAGAAACATTTCACCATTATGCAATCACTTCCAGTTACAGTCTTTTTTAAAAATGTACTCGAAATTCTCCATTCTATATGTCACACAGCAGCTTCCAAATGAAATCCTAAGATAAACATAATATTAGCAGCTGTGAATCTGAGGACTTCGGGATTATGTTCCATTCGAAAAGCATTATGACCGAGTGAAGGCATTAACAAATTTGAAGTATTTTTTGGTATTTTATTACTTTTTGCAGAACACACTACTAACCCTATCAGCGAGTAAGGATTAATATCTAAAGAGCTGACCGAAAATTTGAGTAAGGCAATTATTCAGTCTCCATAGGGGTTCATTTGGAATACTTCCCTTACCTAAGTACTTACCTACACATTAAGAGTAGTTTGGTCAATCTGTGGTGTGACCAAAACTTATTCTCATTCAGATATTTGGCTGTATAACAGTCACTAGAGTTACTCCCAGCTGATATGAGAAAGATAACTGTTTCGAATCTTTCAAAAAAAGAAAGGAATATTTTGTGCCCATCTGTTATCCCTAACCAAACGTTTCTAAAACGCCTCCGCGTGTCTGTATTGGGCCCTCATGAAAACTATTTTTGTGTATCCCTAACGAACACTTACCACTGTGTAGGTGAACATTTGTTTTTGATAACTTAATATATATTCTGAGATCATGCACTTAATGTTTCTATTCTCGTACTTTGGAAGTTCAGAAATGTTAATAAAACATTTTCCCATATTTTAACTTGTGACTTTTTGATTCATTTTGACTGCTCATGAGGGACTAGCCACATGGGGTGTGCAATAAAGTATTCCATCTTCTAAGATGGTAAAGAACCTTAAGCGGCAAGAGGTACAAAATAATGGTCTTCAGGTCGTTTGATATTTTCTTTGGAGTGTTGGTCAGAAGGCGCGTCTGAACGATGCATTCATGTATAATATCTTCGGTAGAAAAACGGAACTTTCTTTGCTGGGTGATGGGTTTTTCTCTACAATGCATGTGGGAATCCCGCTCTTCTATGAGCTCCTATTATCTTTCTAGACAACAGATACGCTGAAGGTGTTGTTTAGATAGACGACGAAGGTTTTGTTGGACTTCGCTCCTTTAGTTGTAGTTTAAGTATTCTTCCCTGCTCTGAAATATTTGGATAATGTAAACAGTAATCTGCACGAGTGAGCTTTTATGTAAATACATACAAGAATAACTAAACGCAGTTGTAACTGTGCAGCCAAGTTAGTGGTCAAAAGGTCAAATGTGACGACGTATGATCCTTTCTTTCTTTTTATTAGCAATGTATTCATCTACAGGGAAGATAATTCACTTCTGATGCAAACTTACAATGACAGTGCTAAGAAAATGAAGGGGAAATATACAAAATGTATTTTTAACCAACTCACCTTCAAACTGCACTTCAAGAATAAGATGAAACGCCTTGCACAGCGAAACTATGTAAAAGAATAAGTTTCAACTTCTGTTTCTCACTGTTATTTGTAACCTATTCATCACAGAGCTAGGTTTTATTTGCGCAGAGGCAGTATTTCTGTATTTCTTAATACGCTACATCCGCGAAGTGGTTAGGAGACTGTTCCAATCGATTCTAATGTAGCAATGCACAACTATTATGAACCGAATTTATGTACTTTAAATAACACTCATCCATATAAGTATACAACTTAGGCAATGTGGCAGAGTATAACTCATAACCATTTTACCAGAAGTTATAGTCTTTTGGACATGCTAGGGTGAACATGTTAATGTGTCTTTCTAGGCTCCGTTTGAACCCATTACAACATCGAATTTCAGATGGTAGTTGGTTCCAAAGAGTGCAATATTTAATGGTGAAAATGTTTACCCTAATGGATTTTCTGTGGATAGCCACCTTGACAAGGCAGTCGTGGTTTCGCAGCTGATTTGATTTAATATTTGCCCACGTTATGGACGAGTTGCTATAACAATGTTTCTTAATGACCTTGAAGAGTAGAAACAAGTTGCACTTCGCTCTCCTTAACCACAGAGGTTCTAATTTCAGACGTATACACCTGTCAATATATTCCACTTGTTGGTCAAACCCTATTATGCATTTCGTGAAGAATCTCTGAACACTTTCGATTTTTTTCGGTCTGCGGACCTTAGGTTACTAAGCAAGAGAGCACAATATTCAAGTTTGGGACGGACACATGTTCTACATATAGCTAATCTCGCTTCTTGGGTGTAGAAGTTACGCAGTACAAAGCGGCTGGACTTATCCAGCATGTTGGTTGAAATTTCGCTCGGCAAATTTTTTGTCAATAATTTTTAATAAAATTTTGTTATATATATATATATACATATATAGGCACGTTCTCGGTTTCCAGCGTCCGAGGTGGGCTATACCGCACTTGTCTGGGTTGAAAGTCAGTTGCCACTTTTCGTTCCAATCGCCTAGATTATTTAAGTCATGTTAGATCTTGCTTTCGACGCTCTTATCATCGTACCCGTAATCATATACTATCTTGAGATCATCTGCAAAGAGGTATGGCTTGCCATACTTGATCACAGAGACTATGTCATTTATAAATAGGAGGAATAGAATAGGGCCAAGAATGCTACACTGTATTACACCACTAGTTATCGGCTTTGATGAAGACTGCTGGTGGTTGATTTTGACTAATTGCTCTCTTTCTGTGGGGAAAGAATTCATCCATTTGAGAAGTTTCCCGGTTATTCCGTAGGATTGGAGTTTTGTTATAAGTCTGATATGTGGGACTTTATCGAAGGCCTTGCTAAAGTCGAGAAATAATTTCCAAGTTACACATTTGCAATACTTGCTTTTATGTGAGCGTATTTAATGTGAAGTTAATCTGCAAGTAATCTTGATGGGAGAATGTCGCCCTGACAGTATGGATGTTCCAGAGTTTGTCCTGAAGTTTGCTTACAGTCCTCTAATGCTGGAAAACATATGAGGTCTATTTATGCATACGGCGTCAATATAATGACCATCTGTGGACCACAAACACTTTTATTTGCGTGAGAATCTCCCTTAGTAATAATAGAGTCGGTGTGTTCATATTGTATACTAATATGTAGAATTATAACTTCATGTTGTGCTATTCCGCATAGGTGCTTTACTTTTTAGGTACATGGAGGTTGTCCAATATGAAATCAGCGGAAATGTCAATCGGCCAAACTAACGCTAATACCCTTCATCAGAATTTTCTTTGTAAATTAATGAAATGTTTAATATACCCTTAATTTCTACTTCTTCTGGACTTCTTCAGTACGTCGCTATATTGTGTGGTTTTGTAATATGTGAATTCGGATTAATGCATATTAAGCTTAGTTAGTGAAATGGAGATGTTATGTAGTATTATGAGACTGTTACTTTAGTCATTCACAGGATTTTGCGTCTGTTTCTATAGAACAGCACGATGTAAAATCCAAGTAGGATTTGGCAAGTTGAATAACAGTTCCGTACTGTTCGGTACGCTAAAGTCACCTTATCTAGCCATTCGCAAGTCTGTATACTGCAAAACGCGAAGTCTGTGGTACACGTAAATGTGGTCACTAAAGGTTGACGGCATTTTGAATATCTAATATATGGATATTAAACTACTCACGGTTTCTGGCATCTAATTGTTAATGACCAACTTTAATTAGTCCAATTTATCTTGCTTGAAGTGTCCTTCTGTCGCCCCAACTTCTGTTAGTTTTCAAAGTCACTGTTTTGTGTCAGTGGTGCAGCAGTTGACATGGGTAGCGGATTTGGGCGTTGATATGGCATATCCCCTGTTTGAAGTGGCGGCTCCAGCTCTACCTTGAGGACATTTGCGCGGTCTAGTTGATTTCAGTTTGGCTTATTTGTTTCGTTTGATCTAGGTAGCTGTATTTGACGTGATTCTGGTTTTATTTAGCTTGAACTGTGTTGATTTTGTTAAGAATAGTTGTCAAAAGCTGTCTCTAAGCCTAAAGGCAGTTATCTTGCAGGAGGATGCTTGAGAATGTGTTTCATGTAAAAATTATAGGGTGCACCTACAATCCTTGGATTTCCGTAGTAAACGTCTATCGCCAACAGTTCCTCAGAACACGATCAACTGTAATGTAAGATTACTGTAAGTCTCAATTACCTTCAGAATGAGGATAAGTCAAATGAGCAATCACCATATGACGACAAGTATACTTACAAGTGGTGAACACTCTGCAAGTACATGCACGTTTTGCCACATCAACTACTCTATGTATGAATCCATCAACGAAAAACACGTTGTTGGAAATACGGTTGTCAATGTGGGCCCCTCATTAGTCTTTTAAAATCTGCAACAACCTTTCTTCCGGCATATCCTGTTAATTTTGACAATAAGGGCTGCAAAGTAGGTATCCTGTTGTCCACCATCCCCATCTTAAAATCTCGTTCGCCATCCTTCCTTGGCAACCTCCTGTCACTCCAATGGTACACCTCCCACATACATCCATTTCTTCGATCTGTGCAAACATTCAACACCATTGTTAGTGCTATTGCCAAGTGACAGAACACTACGGTTGAATGCTGCTGCCCATAGTTTCTTCAAAGGTAGCCAATGTCTGTGTACATACCTCCCCAAACGGGGATATAGATGCCGTATGATACCGAGGTATGTATTGAATCTGTTAATAACTTTATGATCACTTATAA